ACCGTTAGTTCAATAACTCAAAACATTCGTCCGTTTCCTCTTGTATGGAGCAAACACCTTCCATTTCTGAAAGTTCAAATTCACCTATCCGAAAACTGCTGGATCACCAAATGGTACCCAAAGTAAGTAACAAGAATATAGTTCTCAATTACTTCTTCTCTTACGTTTACGCACAGAAATAGTGCTATGAGATACATGCTTCGAACAGCCACCAGTGTGTGCACATGAAGAGAGCAAAAGGAAAGAGTAGGTCGAACCAGTATCTTGCTTCTTGACGGGCTACTTCACTAACCGCTAAGACAAATCCATAAAACTGGCGCGGAAGGTAACCATTTCTAATGGCTACGAAACTCTAGTTCCTCGGGCTAAGTGTAAGGAAAGAACCATGCTCCCCAAAGTATAATTATAGCGAGAATAAGGTTCAATTTATCCTGCTATTTATTTCCAACGAAATAAGTGCAGCCGTAAAACGTTGCTCAAAAGGGTCGGCAGAGAATTTGGTAGCAATAACTGAAATAGCAGCGAGCACTCTAAGATGCTAGCTAGTTAGTAACCGCCTGTGTGGCTTGTATGATCATTTATGAACAGGATTACATGAGTTCGGGTACGGTTTACCTCTCTTGTAAGGGATGCGGAGACGACTACACTAGCGCAACGGGTAGATCACTCTGCGCCCGTATAAGCGAACTTCGGTATTCGGTAAACTTAAAGTTAAACCAAATATTCCACTAAACCTGTATAGGACACAGAGACATAATGGGGAAGATTTTGAAGCAGAAGTTACCATCCTCGCACAGGAATCGAAAACTTCAGCGTGCAAAACTTCCGAAGCCTTCTGGATAAATTTCAAGAATTCAAAATATACCGCGGAGATGAGTTCCTCGTTATCAGGTGCGATCTCACACAAGATTTAAGACCAATATTTTAATGTGAGGGAAAGGCATAACACATACATGGAAACTCTGTGCGGTTGGTCTCCACGTGACATATTCAGTGGTAAACTCATAGAAAGCGGTGAATGTGCGAAGAAGATGTTTTGCTTTCAATGCGACGGAACTTTTGGTTTCGTGTTTTTCGTCCCGGTTATGGAGGTGCTTGCTTAGCTGGCTGGACTATAGTCAAGTTGACCTTTGGAGGCTCTAATGAAAGCGAAATCCTCCGAAACACTAGTTTTTCCGTCAATGAGGAATAAAGCAACAAACTCATGTTCGTTCATTAAGAATATAGTGAATTATTTGATCAATGCCGAGGTCAATAAAAAGTCGGTCTTAGAAATAACTGCGGTTCCTGTCCTTATAACACAAAAAGTACTTGTTCAAACTAAGCAACGACTTCTTACTAAATTTAGGAATTCTGAGAAATAAAGGACGACGAGTAAGCTCTGGCTACAAAAAATCACTTCTTTTCACGTTTTGTCGAAAAAAAAAGCTGTTCTAAACAACTTCGAGTAACACCTATCGTTGTGATTATAATATGACATGCTGAACCATCTCTGATGGGGCGAGTAGCGCAGTGGTCGGAAGCACCTTGCAATACGCATGGAATCGGTCCTCGCGCCCCACGCTCACCAAGCCTTCCATCCCTCTGAGGTCGGAAAATTGCTACCAGTCATAGCAGCACAGGCTCGATACATCGGTCGGCCACCGCGAGTCATTGTGAAGCCCAGATATGCATTCAATCACCTCCAACGATGATTAATGAAGTCGAATGCATGCCGCATCTCTCAAGGATTGATAAACGCCAACTTTATATTTAAGGTTTTATACCAGCTCTGATTCGTCCTTTGGCTTAATTGAGTCTTGCGATCTCGTACAAAAAAATCTCATGCTAATGAACTGTAACAATAAATAATAGGCAAATTTCCTACATAACTGGAATGACATGAGGTCGATATGGTTCTTTTTAGCTTCATAAGCGGATAAACGATGAAGGTTTCGATGTTGATCAATCGCGTAGTCGTGCGCCATGCAGTCGATTTCATCAATTATCGTGGATACGGTTGAATGCATATTTGGCTTACAAGTGCTTTCACATAAAGCTAACCTCTCACAGAAAGGTAATTATACACCAACTAGGGAAGTCTGAAATATACAAATTATTACACAGAACAAAAAGATTTAAATCCAGTGACATATTGAAGTCATACCATAATTAGAGGGCTCACATACTTTTCAAAAACCGACTTTTGTCTAACTCTAGCATGAATAACTGCCAGGACCATAACGACATTATACTTCCACGTGATTTCTGTGCGGTTGGTCTCTACGTGACATACTTAGTGGAAACCTCATAGAAAGCGGCTCTGAAGAAGGCGAAATCCGCCGAAACGTCAGCTTAATCGTGAACAAAGAATAGTAACACCTCGCGTTTTCTCAACAGAAATACGAAGAAAATCATCTAGCATGAATAATTTGCGCCTTATTGTATCGTCAAGATTAAAAGTTCCCGTCGTTGACCCTCAGGGATGCGTTGTGCATTCGACTCCATTCGTAGCGTTGTATAGGTGACTGGATGCGTATCTAGCCTATACAAGGACTAGCGATGGTTACTGATGTAGCGAATCAGTGCTGCTATCCTCTCATACGGGTCTGGTGCCAATTTGCCGACCGCGGATGGATGGTATGCTTGGTGAGCCTGGGGCGCGGGATCGAAACAAGGTGTATTGCAGGGCACCTCCAACCACGCTACACACGCCTCATTGTCAAGGCTACAGAAGGTTTAATAACAGATTTTCATTGCGGTAATGTCCCAGGGCTTTCGCCATCTTTAGAGTCAAGATGATCCGGGTTCAGTGTGCACAGCAGTTGTTCCCGGCTATGCGGCTTTTCGTAGTCGCACCGAGTCAGATCCAGTGGACCCTCAATCTGGATAGCAAGACGCCTATGTCCATCCTGTGTAGAAGTGAACTGCCCAGAGGGAGGCATCCATCGCTTCAATGGATTCGATTCGATGCGAATACGATGCTCCATATCGGAATGAAGCAGCATGAACTGATAAGTAATTCGATATCACGGAAAAAACATGTAAACACGAGTTGAGTTTCCTCCAGAAACAAATAGCGCTAACGAAAAACCTATTCTACAAAAGGGATGCAGAAATCAGCAATGTTTCCATATTCAAAACAATGAAAAGTAAGATGTGAATCTCTTGGAAAGAATAAGAAGTTATAAAATCGGACTCATAGCATCGACGAGCTACCTTGAAATATCCCAGTTTTGTGCCACATTGTGAAAACTAGTGCTTAACTCAGGGAAATTTCCCAAATGCTTAGGTCACATTTAGAGTCGAAAAGCATGAGAAATCAACTTAGTTAGGAAAAAGGCACTGTAACGATGATGCCTTCAAGAAATATAAAGGCACAAATCATTTTTTCCTGAGCGCACAATTCATCTCACAACCGGTTTTGATGTTGTGACGAATCACAAACTGAGAACAAGCACTTGAATAATGACAACACTCCACAGGTGAGTAAGACATAGAAACATGTTGACAACGAAACCTATATGATGACAATCCCTAAGCCTCAATACCAGGGTTCCGTACCGCAAAAATATTGATCGAACACAACTGGCGCCCATGTGGATTGAGGTCGATGCGTAAATGGCAGGGCGTATCAATCTAACCCAATGATTTCAATGTATTATTCTGCAAAAGCTTTGTTACCACAGGTATCGCATCTCGTGTGCAGGATATCTCCTCCATGGAGCTACTATTAAGTAAAACCTCCCAATTACCTTCCTGACCCTCTTGCCGTTGCCATCACTTAGGCATGTTGCCTACCCCTTTAAATAAATCTCCAAATTTAAAGACATTCTTGAGATCTTGCACTCCTTTACACAATGGCTAACCACAGAATCTCCCCTATTTCACAGTAGAGAGATATCAGAAAGTATAGAAACAACTTATAGATAAACTGCCGATTTTGTATGTGTACGAGCCCAACTAGTCTGTATAAAACCACGGCATACTGTGATGTCAGTAGGTTAGAATATAATTCCTCGCCAATTCAGACACTTTCATTCTTTATTTCATTTATTTAAAACCCTCAGCTAATATTTACGACCTTTCTCGATGACACTACATCACTTTTTTGTGCACAAGTTTCCACGGTTGTTCCGCAGCTTCTATTGCGAACATGATGTTTCAAGGTTTAGAACAACTATCCTATGGAACCGCCATCAGCTGAACTGCATGGAATCCAAGGGTATCCTATTTCACAATTGATTATCGCCCTCAGGTCCACGCTCCACGCCGATCTAACTAGACTAGAAATGGGTATCCTCTTTCCTACCCTAAACCTCGTACGCATGTCGCCCTTCGTCAAAACGTTTGCATTAGAACTGCACGAACTGGTTTGCGGAAGTACTCTGACCGGACGCAGTAATGATCTAATCAGTTGTCAGCGTGTTTATGCAAAACAGGTGCATCATGGACTCGAACATCTTGACTCGATGTTACTTCTCGCGTTTGCCGCTGTGCTTTGAGACCATCGGAATAGAATCTTCGTGAACATACACCAACAGAGTATGTACTAGTTTAAATTTAACAAAGGACAAATCTGGGCAAAAACACCATGAAGTTGTATCCCATTCTAATATAAGATAAACGCAAGCCATAGAATGTAAACTTGAAAGGATCTTTTGGTCATTCTCACATGGCCTTCAAATAGCCAACAATGCAGAAATTATAGCTGAATCAAACAGCACAGAATGAAATAGAGAAAACACACGAAGACTAAACAATCATTGTTACAATGCTGCCCGAAGAAATCATGGCAAATAAGGCATTCCTACTTAAAATGATACAACAGCGCTTCGCTATCGAAATCAGCCGACAACGATATGTGAACTTTACGGTGAAATTTTTTTAGAATTAGGATACCTATAGATACGTCTACAACTCATTAAAATTAAACATGTTTCGTACTTACAAAGTGAGAGGAAAATAATAACATATCACATAAGACAATGATACAATCAAAGAGAAAAGCATATTTACACTTAACTCAACAGATCTTCGTATTTAGCCCAAGGGTTCTCAATGAGAAAATGCTCTAACACTTCTTTCATGGCGAGGTTGGGAATGAGATCAGCTTCGGTTAGTGGAGCACGCGTCACTGGATCGAAATGACCTATGGACAAGACAGTAGTTGTACTGGAAAAACAGTGGCATGTCGGAAACACAGCTAATTCTCGACCTACCAACTCGATGTAAATGTTGCTTTATATCAGCACGGTCGTAAGTTATACCCGACGGAGTAATCACAGGATCCTGCAGTAGAGCACAAGAGATCTTCCCACATAGAAAATCGGGGATTTCTCGTTTTTTTCGGCGGTCGTCAACCTGAAATTTATTTATGACTAAATATTTAAATACTGTGGGCGCATGTGGCACAGCGGTCGGAGGCGCCCTGTAACACACACGCGGTATCGATCCCCGCGCCCACAGCCCATCAAGCCTTCCAACCCTCCGAGGTCTGCAAATTGGTGCTAGAATTGTTTGGCAGAATAGTTGCACTGGCTCTCTACATCGGTCGGGCACTGCGAGTCATTGCAATGCCTAGATATGCATTCAATCACCTCCAACGATGATTAATAAAGTCGAATGTATGGCGCATCCCTCATGGATTGATAAACGCCGAAAGTTTTATCCTTACCAACCAACTTACCAACTCGAATTTAGGTGCAATAGATCTTTCTATAAGGATTTGAAGAAAAAACGCACTAAGTTGCCAATTGCCGTCATCAGACTAGTTAGTACTTTTAGCATTTCCTCCTAGTAAAGTTATCTCCAAATCTACTGATGTTATCGGAGCTTACATATCAGTTCTATGCAGAAGANTTTAGGTGCAATAGATCTTTCTATAAGGATTTGAAGAAAAAACGCACTAAGTTGCCAATTGCCGTCATCAGCCTAGTTAGTACTTTTAGCATTTCCTCCTAGTAAAGTTATCTCCAAATCTACTGATGTTATCGGAGCTTACATATCAGTTCTATGCAGAAGAAATTAATTAAAGTAAAATTTTTCCAACTCATGACCTCAAAAGGCTCGAACAAATCCGATCGTAGCAGCCAAATTAATACCACCTTCGAAAAAAAATACATGCATATGCAGTACACATATACATATATGCTTATCTATATATACACATATATATACGTATACACACATATATGTGCATATACATACAAATGTGTATACACGTATATATATATATATATATATATATACGTACATATTTACACGTATATCAATGGACAATCCATACCTCAACGCTAGTGGTACCATTGTCAAAGAAAATCAATGCGATAAACGATCACGAATGAATCAGATAATCGAAAAAGTCGTGAATGGACTATAAACTCTTATTTAAAAGAACAATGACATAAATAAACAATAATTTATCAATTACCAGCGAACCAAAGAGAACGTATAATGCATGAAGAAGTTTCAATTCCCAAAACAACTCAAATTAATTGGACCCACTGCATTACGTTCAACTTCACCAACGATGGCATCGAGAGCTTCGTAAAGCTGTGACCACCACAGGAGTTATATTAAGCGAAAATAAAGGGAGCTTTCAATTTTAAATTAATATATTTCAGCTCATAGTATATTTTTCTGATTGCAATAAAAACTATTGGAATCCACAATTCTTTCCCTACAGGACAAAAGTTCTCTCGTTCTATCACGCTGAAGTCTTGATTTTGTGGAGCCCATGGCACAGATTTCGTCCACTATATTGTTCAAAAGATCATATTTCAGAAACAAGAACAATCGATTAGTCAAGATTTCGTTCAATGGAATAGCATACTTCAACACAGCATTTACGCTTGTAACTACCACTTTTTCGGCGAAAATCTAAGGAACTTAAATTTTGCTTCTAAACTTTTAGAAGCTTGGATTCTAAAAATATTCATAATTGGAAAAACACTGTATAGAAACCATTTATACTGTTAATGCAATATAGCAAAGCCTCTTCTAAAAACCTATAAAGTCCTGATCTCTTGAAACACTCTAGTAATCAGGAAACCACCGAAAAAACTCTAAAGCTCTCGGAATTGATCAATCCCTGAGGGATGCGTCATGCTTTCAACTTCATTAAGCACCGTATGGAGGTGATTGAATGCACATCTGGCCTTTACGTTGACTAGTGAAGTCCAACCGAAGCATCGAGTCAGTGCTGATATCATCCCAGACAACTCTGGTACCGATTTGCCTAACCTGAAAGGATGGAAGACATGATGAGCCAGGGGCATGGGAATCCATCCCATGTGTATTGCAGGGCTCCTCCGACCACTGCGTCACACGCGCCCATTTATAAGCGCTTTTTTTTCCCAAAAATCTGGTTCATTGTGAATCGTGTTAAGTATGACAATAAATAAACAAATTAGCTAAGGCATCCATTCTAAATAAAGGAAAAATTTTAGAAGCTGAAGACGACCAACCTGCGCAAATAACGCGTCCAGTTGAGCTTTGTGTTGTTCACCTGTTTGAGTTATTGTTTCCAAACTTTGGTTCTTCTCCTTACCACGCTCATTTTCAGCACTCGACTCAGCTGACAGTACCTCAGCAATCTGTCGGCTCACATCCTCATCGATCAACCTTCAGTGGCTTTTCTTTAGTATCCATAGGGAGAGATAAGTCGTGCCAATAATCATGAATAGTGGAAAATATACATTAATGGCATGTTTGCATGTGAATATCATGTTGGAAAACTAATGAAAACCAAAACGGTGCTGAGACATTTACAAAACTCCGGATTGCAGGTGTCTTCGGTGGGAAACGAACGCGTTATTACACTTGCCGGGGGCTAACGCGTTCACCACCGCACCACGCGGGTCCTTCGTTTCGCCTTTCTCTCGGGCATGTCTAATGAACTAGGTTAATAAGTTAACTAATCAAAACGTTTTTTAACTACTTATTCTTTTACCTTCGTAAATATACTTGGAGTTCACATTCTTCTTTTACACGCTTCTCCTCTTCCAAGCGAAACTTCTCCCTTCGGGCGAGGCGCATTTGTGCATGGATTTCATCTCCGAAATTCATCTAAACTTAGATTTCGTGGGAAAGAAAGAGGCTTGTCGATGGAAGAAAACAATGCAATGAAAGCACTAACTTTCTGATTACTTGCCAATTCCTTGGCTTTTGTAATAAGTCGAATAGCTTCATTATAATTCCCCAGTTGAATAGCAGCACGTCCTCCAAAGTAGTACGCCTAAGGTACATTTGATGACCATATGTCGATCGAAAAATGAATGCTTACGACTGTCTTTAACCCCAGCTTTCATCAGGTGCAGACACAACGACAAGACTAGATTCGTTAAGAGCACTAAAATTTAACGTAAGAAGGCAAGTAACCTTCACATTATTCCTGTCCAAAAATGCGGCCTTAGCGCAGTCATCCGCTGCTTTACTCCATGCTTTCAACTAAAACCAAAGAATATGAGTAAAGACCTGGGAATCACATTGAGGAAACTCACGTTCATATGACAAAGTGCCCGATTCGTGAAGTACGTGGACACATGAGGATTCCTAATTATCGCCTTGCTATAAGCATCGATAGCCTCTTGGTATCGACCCTGTTGGAATAATCTATTGCCGTCCGCTTTTAAATCCTCAGTAGATTCCATGATCTGTTCAAATGATCGGGGGAAGGAGCTTAAAACATCAGCGACGAAATCTCTGAAATCACTGAATCTTGCCGCAAAAGAAAGATAGTTTCTAAAAAAAGAACCCGAAAAAATCACAAAAAGCTACTTAAATAAAGGTAACAAGCGGATGAAGTAAAAACGATTAAGATGAAAGAAACCGTTAAATGAAGTGTGCGTTCCGCAGAATCACGTAAAGTATGGCGCACACGGGCATATTGCGTATGACTTGGATTCTTCCCTGAAGCTCTCACTGTTTGGGGTGTTTTTCCTGGAGGCTACTTATGCTCTCGGTACCGGTAAGTTGTTGAGTGTTATTTGATGCAAGTAACTCGTAATGCATCTCAATAGATCTGTGTGTTCTTCGCGTTTTCATGCATTCCTTGCTTCAAACGGCTATGAATGTGAGATTAAAACAGAGCACTTTCGTATTGTCAGAGGTTGCCGATCCTAGGAAAGTTTTCCCAGCATTTAAAATGGTCACTCTTTCATTTACGTTTTGATGCCTGACATACACGGTGTTTTTCAGTTACAAATGGAAATGGCCTGTTTTTTTCTTTTAGAAGTCGGGACCAGGCGAGGGCTTAGAGAAAGGTCATGGAAGATGGATCAAGAGGTCTCTTCTCATCATCAGGACACATTGTCATTTATTTACTTGGATGGCACGTCCTTACTATTTGTGCGGGCCCACATAATTTCCAATTTTTTGGAGTTTTGCTAGTCTAGCTGTTGTGGTTCCCTCGAGTTTCGAGATCAGTCAGGCTAAGGTCTGCCTCAGGTCGTCACCACCACAGGCAGTGGCCGCCGTTGTGGATCAGAGGGAGATTTGCCACCACGCGACTAGTTTGATATCAGGACGGTGGCAGATCCTTGTATTGGTTTACTCTTGTCTGGACTTCCTGGTGGGAACTCCGAGCTCCTTCTCAGCTTAGAAGACCCTGCCGGCGGGACGAACCCTCCCAGGTATACATCGCAGCCCCACACGCAGGAACACCTCCCAGCCACGATGAGTGGGTATACCGTTGGGAAGATTGTCATTTAACGTTATGTGAATCCATCTTTTCCGCAATCTTCCCTGTTTCATTTACAGATTCATTTCTGCATTTTCTTTCTGTGGTTGTTCCCCAGTTCCACTATTATCTTACCAATTGAGAACTATTTTGAATTGTGGTCTATGACTTCGCACTTCTTATGAATGTCCAGAGTTCCTAGTGCTTTCATGACAACTTGTCTCCTTATCATCTCTGCACAGCATTTCTTTCCTGGTATTAATTTTATTGGTTCATTTTTTCACTGTTATGGATGCATCTTCGTTCTATGATGTTGGCTGTTTCTCTTCGAAAGTGGTGAGAATGCACATTCACTGAATTCCGCGTCGTCTCGGTGATGTCGTCTTGAAAATTGCTTTTTTTCAGGTGGGTATGGCTGCTGGTCAAAACGTAGATGTGTCAAAGAAACTGAAGGTTAGTTTTGTCTTCATTCATGTTGGGTTGTGAAGAAATTTGTTTTATTTTAGGCGGCAATCAAAGCGAAATTGGAGGAACTCGGTGTTTATGTAGATGACGAGCTTCCGGAGTATATTATGGTGATGATCGCTAATAAGAAGGAGAAGAACCAGATGAAAGATGACTTAAATTTATTTCTGGGAAAGTGCACGAATAAATTTGTGGACTGGTTAGTGCATCATTTTTCTGATTCCTTATCGAATATTTTATTCAATGGTGAGTGGTTTTGCGCCATACTGTTTTTTCTTGCGCGTGTGGCACAGTGGTTAGAGACCTGCAATACGTATGGAATCGATCCCCGCGCCTCAGGCTCACCAAGCTTTCATCCCTCCGGAGTCAGCCAATTGGTACCAAGCTTCCCGTGGAAGATATCAACACTGACTCGATACATCGGTAGGCTACGGCGAGTCATTGTAAAGGTCGGATACGCATCCACCTCTAACGATGATTAATGAAATCGATTCATGGCACACCCCTCAGGGATTGACCAAAGTCGAGAGCTTCATACTTTTTACTACTTTTTATTTGGTTAAAGGTATTACATCAGAGTATCAGATGGCGATAAACCATTCGCAGCAACGCACGTTGTCAGCACTTCAGAACGGAGTTCGTGACGGAAGTAACGAGTCTCATTTTCGATAACTGTCAAAAGTTCTTCAATGAATATAGTGCTTCATAATCTAAGGGCTTTCGAGGATTGTAGGAGAGGCTTTAGATTATCGATTTGGTGGAGTAAATGGGTCGTACCTTAATCCCAGATCTATTACAATTTACAGAAAATGGAGCTAATTTATGTTTTTGAAATTTCTGACGTAAAACGCGACAGTTGCAAACAATACATTGGACACAATCATGCTGCGTTTAAAGAAGTGACCAGCTGCTCATTAGTTTCACAGTACGGGATTGGACGAAAGAAACTTCGAAGAAATGAGAAGATAGCGTTTTATTTTCTTTTTACACAACTCGTCTTTCACACCTGCTTTGCGAGATCCTAGCACTTCTTACTTCCCATTCGTTTCTTCTCATGCATTCTGCACGGAGGTTCTCCAAGTTTTTGTTTGTGAGTTTTGCTGCTGCTTGATAATTTCTCCTTTCGTCGTGAATATCGTTGAATGCAGGTCGAGACGATTCTTTTTGGAGTCATAACCTACCCAGAACGCTCTAGATTTGACTGCACATAGTGGACTTTTCCAAGGGAAGTCCGTTACCACTCAGAAGATATGAGAGACTTCGTGAGTCGGGGTGGGTTTGAACCAGCACCGCGCTTGTGATGATTGACATTACTGCCACCGCGTTATTCGCTCCCTGCGTTTTATAAGTTTGTAGGTTTAGGCGTTTAAGATGTTTGAAACGTGTTAAATTCGTTTTACAGTTTCCAAGAATTAGGATTTTGTTGATACAAAATATAAAGTATCTAGTTGATGAAGATTTGTATATTCTGATGGCTTTCCATTTTGATTAATAAAATTCGCTTTGCAATGGGTATGTTTGTCTAAACTTGAGAGCCGGAAATATTTCCTGGCAAGTATACATTGAAATGAGTATCTCATTGCGAATGTGAAAGATGTTTACTTCAGAGTGAAACATGGAAATTGAAGGGAAAGCAATCACAATATGCCGAGCATTAAGAACAATATGCATGTTTTTTTTTAAATTCTACCATGACCATGACCATAACATTGTAACGTTTTAAAACAAACTAATGTTTCCTTTCATTTATCAACGTCCTAAACGAAGTCCTTCATATAAATCTGTTAGCGCTGAAGTTCTGACGAGCACTGGACCAAATTTCAGGCTCTTTGAGCTTTTCGAGCGACTGCAAACTGCTGGCACCAAATCCGATACTCATTCAGTGGTTGATAAGGCTAGTAAGGTGGTGCTATAATATGAATTTCACCTTGTTATAAAAATGACTTTTTATATTTAGGAGACCTCGAAGGAACATTCTAAAAACAAAGAACGCAGAAAAGAGGCGGAGACAATATCGCATGCGTCCACATCAAAGAAAGAGGATAGAAAAGGTGGTTATAAAAACGACTTAACCGACCTATTGGCTTTATAATTCTAGGAAAGATAAGTGTAGAGTTTGGTTCTTCGTCAATATGAGTATTTCCTATGTGAACCATTTATTATGCTGCTCCTACTTTTCGGCCGTATTCACGAAGATGTATTTGTTGTTGTAGTATGAAAATAATGTGCTTATTAGACATGTTTTCAAAAGTTGTTTCAGGAACACTTTACACTTATTCCCTTCGTGTTTAGAATCTCGCACACACGAATCGTCTCACCGTCACTCAGATTCTGAGTTAAGAAGAAGAGAAACGGAAAAAGAAAAAGAACGTGAGAAAGAGAGAGAACGAGAGAGGGAAAAAGAGAAGGAAAAGATTCGGCAAGCTGAGAAGGTCAAAGAGAAGGAGCGCGAAGAACGAGCTAAAGAATTGGAACGTCAAGAGAAACTTCGTGAGCAAGAAAAGTGCGTTTATAGATTGTGAAATGTTGGGAAGATTGCTTTTAATTTGGACATTCAAACTCCATGTCTTAATATACGATTTCATGCTGTTTCTTGAAGGTCAAAGGTTGCTGTGCCACGAGATACAGCTCGACCTATACGCCGCCAAAAAGAGCGCAGATCTCGATCTCGTTCCAAGACATGGTCTGACGATGAGTTCGAACAACAAGTTGAAGGACGCGCCAAAAAGGTGAGCGGACAACCTGGCTATTTCTGAACTCTGCAGAATCTCTTCATTTTACATTTTAGATAACGTAACATGTTGATTCCGATTTATTTTATGTTTCTGAAATTAAATACTGACACTTGAGCATCAGTTTTAATGTTCAGGTGGCCTCATCAGTGGTTGCACATCGCGTACTTACAGCTAGTCCTGAGCCAGTAAAAGTTTCTTCGCAGGTGCACGTGATGAGAAAAGTAAAGCCTGCGACAAGGTGTGACGCGTTTTTTATCCTTAGATTTTTGCATGAATTTAAAAAATTTTTGATATCTGTTGAGGTTGAACTATAAGGGACTACTAGATTCTTCATTTTTCAGTGAGATCGAAATGAAGACGATGAAAGCAGGATCATCGATGTTCTTGAAAGCAATGAACCAAGCAAGTGTGAGCGCTGGGTATGGCGCATCACTGGTGGAGAAAAAAGTATTAAAATCTTTTGACTACTCGTTATGTAACTCTAAGCGTCGTCATTTTAAGAAAGGCGCCGTGCACGCTTCTGTATCGAGATCGCCGCTTAAAAATCGACTGAGTCGACCAGATATTGTTGACGTGGATAGTGATGGGTTCGTACACGCTTTTTTATATGGTCCATTCTAGCATTTTTCAAAAAGTGTGTGTATAAATCAACAATTTTTGCCCGATCTTATTTTCTTAATGCTGTGTACGTTTTGCACTCATGCTAGAACCAAAAGTTTTGTGCAAAGTTAACAAAGTGTTGTAAGTACGTATTTTCGGGAATATTTTTTATGACATTTTTTGCTGCGGATCAGCGAACTAAGCACATCTGGATTTACTTAAATACCATCTTAGAAATGCACAGAAGCAGGCACTTAATTGTATACTGTATCTTACCGGTCTGCTAAGTTCGTAAAAACATCTGCTTCTATAAAAGCTGTCAAGTTATTGGGAGAGAGAATTTTCTTGTTCCAGAAAGGATAAATTGTTAGAGAATTTGTCTGAATTTGATAATAGGTTTATCACTTATTTTAAGCGAGAATGCTTACAAGACTGAAGTGATAATGGGGGAAAAGTCTCGTAGTAGACCGATTAGTCCACAAATAACCGTGACTTTGAAAGGTGCAAGAGAGCACATCGGAGTGAAGAAAGCTGGTCTTAAGCGCCGTAAGGAGAAGGGTGAGGGAGGTGAGTGTTTAGAAATATCTCATTGAAGTATATTAAGCTCAGCAAAAGTAAATGTAGGTAGAACTGAATTTAATTTCTACATCCTGTTTTAGGTATGCTATATGACGGAAAATAATACGGAAAAGGTGTTTTAGAATGAAGATTCTTTAAAAAGAAATATTTTATTTTGTTTCGTGGTTCCACTGACGTCTGTCTAGATACTTTGCCTATTTTCATGGTGTGGGGTTCTGGCACAAGATGCACGCTTTTTTTTTCCTTCACGCAGGTTATACATGGCGCTGATCTGCACTAAGCATTATAGCATCTTCCATTGTCACTTTTTGATGCATAAATTTGAAATGTGGTTGTAGAAGACCCCGTAATCACACAACAGGATACTGTTAGGTTTCTTGAATGGAACAACTCGGTGCGGAGGTCTTAATTATTGGATTGGCGCCATCGGAAAAGATGTCTTGTCTTGTCGATCCCACCAGTACATTTTCAACTTCAGTTTTTGCTCTAAAATCCTCTCGGTTCATTCTATACCGTACTATGAATTCTTCGCTGCCTCGATTTCCGGTTTGTTCGCGATTTTGTCTCTTCATCTTTTTCGTAGAGCTCCTAGAGTATCGTCGCTGCTTCATTAGTGATCGATAAAGCGGCGGTCTGTTTGAAAAATGAATGTTTGATAGGAGTTTGTCGTTTATGGGTTTGTCGTTTTTACTCCAGTGAAGTGTCCATTTTGCGTCCCAGTTATGCGCTAAACCGTTTTTCCGAAATGTGTTCGCGTTCTGTTAAACACGGTTTCCATAAGCTTGGTAGCAAAGGGGAAGAAGAGAGTGGAGTTCTGTTGTCACAAAGCAGGTGCCCATTTCTTTTATGCGGTACGGGTCTAATGTTTAGTCTACTAGTGTTGATAGAGTGGTGCTCGTTCCAACGCTACCAAAAAAGATGTGACTTCCAGCGTAATTTCATTTCTACAGTACTTCACTGCGGTTAAAATTGCAGTGTCTCTGTTGTAACGTTGTCTGCTAAATTCCCTGCTTTTTTTTTCACTGGGATTTTCAGTGTCTCCTCTCAGATGGCGTTTCCTAATCAGACGTTGGAATCTCTTTTGGTCTCGTCAGTTCCACAGATCCATGGAGTTCCGCAGCAGGAGCTGATGTATTGGTCCTCTTCTGATTTTGGAAATGTCGAATATTTTATTCATCATAATTCTAATTTAAATCACCACTCATCGGCTCCTCTCTTATACAGTATCGTTGTCTTAGCCACCAGTGTATATTGCACTGGTAGTGATTTTTCATACGTTTTTCTCTAGTCTTGATAATTCTGTGCAAGGATAGCTGCGCTTCTCCACTCTGTGATTCAAGAGAATGCTTGAGTCGCATCCATTTGCTATCACTTAATGTAGCAGTAAATCGTCTGCCTAGAAGGTGCAAAATTCATCCTCAAAATGCTAGTCCATTTCGACTGAAGGTTGCGTCTCACCAGTTCGGCCTGACTGTCTTGAGTTATCGCGTGTAGAAGTTAGTGTTTTACCGTGTTCTCGGGACTAACATCGCTTTCATTCAGAATATTGGAAAGAATGTGCAACTTGTTCATGTCAAATAGCTTTGAATTCTGTACTGGTGTCATCAGAGGGGCACGTGTAGTGCAGTGGTAAGAGAAGCTGTGCAATACACGTTTTCGATCCTGCATCCCAGGCGCACGGAGCCTTACATTCCTTCGGGGTCGGCAAATCTGTAGCAGACCTGTCTGGGAAGATCACACCACTGCCTCGATACATCGGTAGGTCACCGCGACTCATTGTATACTTCAGATATGCATTGAATCACATTTAGAGATGTTTGATGAAGGCGAATGCACGGCGTATCCCTTAGGGATTGATCAACGCCGGGAACTTTGTCCTTCTTTATCATCAGATGAAGGCTGAATTAGTCGAAATATCTGGATTGAAGCATGGTTGTTTTCGAGCAAACACACATCCGAATGTATTATACACGCATGCAGGAAAGAGGTCATTTATTTACAGAATCTGTTTGGTAGTACAACCAATCGTTGATATGTCGGGCTAGTGTAAAATTGAAACTTATCTATCTATCCTCCAGGCTATCTACTGAATATCTTCCAGGCTCTGAGGAAGGCGTTGATATGTCGGGCTAGTGTAAAATTGAAACTTATCTATCTATCTTCCAGGCTATCTACTGAATATCTTCCAGGCTCTGAGGAAGGCGAAATCCGCCGAAACGTCAGCTTTTGCGTAAATAAAGAAATAAAATAGCACCTCGTGCTTGCTGAACAGAAGTAGAAAGATATATTCAATCAATGCCGAGGTTAATAGAAAGTCGGACTTGGGAGTTACTATAAAATTGAAACATCAAGAGAGATTGGAGGAGAGAATGATTAAGAGTCATCCCTTCCTCACCTTGTATTGTTGTAAATGTGAGAAAACTCGACTTTTATTACAGACGCAAAAAATGGAAGCGTCGTAGTCGTGCCAGAAAAGCGCGGTCGCACTGTAGAAATTGACGATGAGATCGTAGTGAGTGATATTGTCCACTTTTTTTTTACATTGCTTTAATTTTGTTCGCGATAACTAGGTAATTCTTTGGCGTATTTCAAAAATGAAAACCTTTCATGGAGTACCGTCGTCATGATGCTTTACTAAAAGTAAGTTTTTGTGTTAGATTGTTTATGCTAAATTTTCATGACGGCTATGAATCTCCATCAATTCGTAAGTGGGACGGTCAAATTCAACTGGATGAGGAAGATACGACAGATGATGATGGTACGTTGAGTGATGAATTGATCGAATTTGGATCTTTCAAAGATGTGGAGATGAGTCTGTTTTTTTCTTGCACTTTAGTGATGAAAAAGTTGCTGCTTCAGAAGCAAAAATAGACGCCGTTTTGGCTGATGCTCGTGGCGTCACCTCAACCATGGATGAAGACGACGAAGTACCACCTACCCACCAACTTAGTCGCGGAAACAGCTGGTCCGGATATGCAGGATCACCAACCCAACAACCACCAGGGGGAGCTCCGAATTATGTGCCAACACCTCTCACAAAAGTGTGGATCTTTTTTTTCCGTACTCGTTCCTATTTTTTCCTTTAATGTGTATGTTACTAAAAGACGAAATAATAGGATGAAGTCAACTACACAACAGTAACGAAGATACCTGAGCGATGTCGTTTTTGGCCGGCTTGTCGACAGGGTGAAAACTGTCCTTATACCCATCCAAACAAGCAATGCATGTGAGCGTATTTTCGTCTTGAATATTCCGCTGCTTCCGGTGATATTTGTGTTTGATATGTGTGAACGACATGTTTTAGATTTTTGAATCTTCTTATTAACCATTGTTCCAGCAATTTCCCGCACTGTTCCTTTGGCGCACGCTGCCTTTACATCCACCCGCCGTGTCGATTTGATAGAAAATGTGCTAATCCAAATTGTCCTTACACTCATGGTCGAATTGCTGCTGCAACGGTTCCAGTGCATGTGACAACACCAGCGCCAGCTGCTGCGGCACCTCAGGTTCCATATTTTTTTTTTTATTGAACGGTAAATGGACTAGCATACATAAACAGATTAAATAGGTTACATACTTTTCTTTAAAGATATCGCAGCCAATTGCTACATCATCGCCGAATTCTACTGCAGCTGAAACGACAAGAATTCCTCCGGAGTAAGTTCTTTTGGTACTACCCTGTTTTTGATTTTTTTTCTTTTTTGTTTTTCCTTAACGGGACAAAGGTTGCAGTGCATATATCTTTCTGATGAGCTTTCACCTTAATATTGGATTTGTTTAGCATCCCACTGTCTGCTGAGACCAAAATTCCCTCCATTCATACCCCTTGCCTCTTTGGAAACAAGTGTAAGAAACCAAATTGTGCATTCAAACATCCTAAGGTTAAGTTTGCTATCTTTTCGGTCTTACCTAGCGGTATTAAGCTGTGTGCATACGACTATACCTTTATTTTCAGGCATGTCATTATGGTATCCTATGTATGAACGCAAGCTGCTATTTTTATCATCCACCTCAACCGAAGTCATCGTCAGGCAGCGGTGTTGTTGCCACCAAATATAAATGGAAGGCATCGAGTGCAAGTGCTTAACAATTTTACAGTGCACAACTGAAATAGGCTCGCTGTTGCATCGTCATAAATATTACACATGTTTGTATTTTTTATTTTTTATTTTCTTTTTTTGAATGAAATCAGTTTGCTGAGTTTCGCAATTTAAATACTAGAAGAAGGATATGTAATTTTAACTGTATCATACGGAGGTGGTTGTATAAATTCGTTACGATTTCATAAGATAGAGCCAACCATTTCAACAGATCTCTTGAGGCCATGCTCGTAATTACGAATACCTTCCAAATTTCTGGGACTTCTATCCTAGTGTTTTTACGTCACAAAGTATTTGCGCTTGCTCATTGTGGGATGGTAATGAATCTCTGCACTTCTTTAAAAAACTTAAAAAATAATTTAATGTTGCGCAAATACCTAGTTAGAGAAGTTGCAAAATTCGTTATGGAATGGTCAGATAGATTGACTTCACTAATGTGTCATATCGCTTACGATGTACCGCAATATTGCGCCACCAGTCTTACTTGGGCATTTCGTAATTGTATGTTTACAAACGAATTCGTTTAAGAATCTTCACTGCGTTGTGGATCAAACACCAGAAGAAGGATTTTTTCAAATTATCTAGAATTATACGGTATATGTATCTAATAGCGTCAATTCACTCATGTTCCACTTTTGAGTTCATCACATGTATTGACATCCATCTGTCTCCTATAGCTCAATACATTATCCAGTTGTAAATTGCATGAGAGGCGTCATCGAAAAGATTTCGCTTTTTTTGCCAAACTTGAAGTGATTTGCCATCACAATTTACAACTAGCTCGCTGATCTGCCTCCAATTTTTGAGTGGACAGTGTTTTTCCTGTTTAGTTTTTCGACTCTTTACTGTTAGTGTTTTTGTATCTGGGAGTAATAAGTTTCCTTTCATCCACGCCGTTATATTTCCATGATGATATTTGTGTTATAAATTACAAAGGCATTCATAATGGGAGGCCACTTGATGTGCTCTAATCTTCTAGGATTGAAGAATACTGAGTTTTACCATTTTTAATTACAACTAAAAACAATAGAGGAGTTTCAACAGTGAGTTTTGAACGTTCTTCGTTGTGTCGAAGTTCAGAAAGTTTCTTCTCAAGGTTTTTCTTACTAGTTTAGCACATTTTCTTCCTGTTGTCTACCTTTAGTAGTCGTTTCTGGATGTTGCGGTAAGAGAAATGGCATTTTGAGGTGTGCCATACGGGGAATGGAGAACATGATGTAGAGAGTGTACAGATGGTCACATATCTGTAATAATAGAGCAACTTTTAGGGTGTGTAGAGTAGCACGTGCAATATGACAAAAGTATTCACTGTTAACTAACTTCCTGGTCTGTTTACGTGTTCAAATAATCGGTTGACTAAGTATGTGGAGGAAGACTTTTTGTATTTTGCACGGTCCGTTTTTCACAGCTACTGTGCGAATACCAGCAGTCCTCATACTTGATTCGCCTTCTCGTCTTCGTCATCCATGACGATCCTCCAACTTTAACGTGTGGATCCAGCTGCTGGTTTTTCCCTTCATCATGAATGTCGTTGAATGCTGGTTGAGTCGATTCTCACTGGTGTCCTGAATTAGCCGGGCTAGAGCGTTCCAAGTTGGGTTTCAGAGTGATTATTCCGCAGACAAGCCCATTATAAATCTCGCAGCCAAGAGAGATGAAACGTTTGGTGAGCCTGGAGCGGAATCGAAGCAGCACCGTGCTGATGATGACCGACATTTATCACTGCTATCCGCTCTCAAGTAGAACTAGATTTTGCGCGAACAAATTGCAATTGATTACTAGGTTGTGGGAATGTTCCAGTTACTAATACTTACTTCAAAAGGGTGAGTTGCCCAGTGATAGTGATGCCGATGATCACCAACACGGTAATGGATGGTTGGACTCTATTTATGCTCAAATTCATCGAATAGTCGACCCTTCCGGGTCATCGAGGAAGGGGAGGGATTAGCCGCATCGTTTCCTCAATACTGCTTTATTCGATTGCACTGAAGGTTTCGGTTGCTACGTCTTTGTCGAGCTATCGGTAGTATTCGCTGCAGTTATACAAATCACTGTCGTTCCGCACTTATCTGAGTTTGAGATCAGGAAATTTTCCTCACGTTCGTAAGTGTATGTTGTGACGACCTGAAAACCCCATCGCACGGCTATTTAGGTTTTCCTATGAAAGTCACAACTGTCGAGCAATCAGTATTTCAGTGAGGAGAGAAGCTCACAAAACCTTGAATTTCAACTGAACCATAAGTGAAACTTAAGAACTTAGCTCATACTCATGCTCTAGCTCACAACAAAATGATCTCAATATGGCGGCTCTCTTCATGGTGTGGATGCACCCGTGTATCCTTTTTGTTGAATGTCTGGTCGCGCAAGCACAGTTTCCAATTCTCTCTACCGCGTGATAGAGTATTTTAGTGACATCTCTTAGCTCTAACACTTTAAAAGGCATCCTTTTTTCCCCCACTATCTTCGCAGAAAGTTGTGATTATCGAGTTCGGTAGTGTTCAAGCTTGTCATGGGATCCTATTACCAACGAATCTTTAGTGTTTAAGCGCATTCCGTGTCCGATTTACATCATTTCCGACATGTTTTTGTCGGTGGCGTCTCCGTTTCGTATTTGTGGCTGTGGACAAAGATCAGATCTTCGAATCTCACCTTCATTTCTGTGCTATGGGATACTCCTAACATCGTCCCCTCGATAGAGCTTTCGAAAACGTTGAATAGTTTTACCGTTCTTGCGTAGCATATGGTTTTCTGAAACGCACTTCAAGAGCGATTGCATCCCATTGTCATTGGAGATCATGCAGTCGTATGGTTCTCACCCTTTTCTCTACATTCTTATGGTCTCCAACGTGCATGAAAGATCCGGAATGATATTTCATTCAGCGTGTATAAGGCCAAATAAGCATACTTTTCTTTAGTTTCAACCGAAAACGAATTCGTGCACAAACGCTACTGAGAAGTTTGTTCTCTCTAGCTAATGCGTTGCTGTTATAGAACCGATGCCTATTAAGAAAGTGAACATGGGATAACTAACAGCTATCGAGCTTGCACAAATTTTATTACACTCCAACATTAGTGCAATACCGTGGTCGCTTGACATAAGTCATTTCCAGAGTTGCAATCAACTTGAGCTTTCCAGGCTCTGAGTAAGGTGGAATCCGCCAAAACATCAGTGTTGTAAATAAATAATATATGATAACAGTCTAGAGTATGGTCTAGTGTGATGCAGTGGTTGGAGGCTCCACTGCGACACACACGTGGAATTGATCACCGCGCCCATCGCTCACCAAGCCTTCCATCCCTTCGGGGTCGCAAATTGGTACCAGACTTGACTGGGAGAATAACAGCACTGGTTCGATATATCGGTAGGCCACCGCGAGTTATTGTAAAGCCATATATGCATTCAATCACCTCCAACGATACTTATGCAGTCGAATCGAAGGCGCATCCTTCAGGGATTGATCCACGCTGAGAGCTTTGTCCTTTCATCCTTTAACAGCCTAGTTCGTGCTAGTAAGGAAAATGCCGTTGGTATTTTTAGCGAGGTGATATCACCTTGTTGAGACGCTCTCTGCATAGCGTACATGTGGAATGGTGAGATTGTGATGGTAAAGTTGAAACTTATAAGTCAAGAATACTTTTGTATTAGGGAGAAACTCCTTAGGAAGGTTTCCATGTACCATTATAGCTCAGTAATAACTGCCATGCACCAGTTTAATATTTCGGTATATTCCTACGGACAGTGGCCCTGGGAAACTCTCTAAACTACACGCATGTCACTCTAAAATTTAGGGATAAAAACAAGGTTTCTAAGCCTCGTTATGGTATCGACAGTCGATATTTTCAAAGTCGTTCGAGCGATGACTATAACCAATAAAAAGATTACCAGCGTACTTTATTAGATGCTTAGTTGGCCCGCCTTCAGATTTGCAGCACATTTTCAGCTAGATCTGTTTTTGTGATAACGCATTTAAACCCATGGTTACAGCCTATTGACGCATTCTAGATCGTCGACTTAGAGTACATTTGTGCCCCTGCAAGGCGTCGATTTGAAGCATTGTAAAGGATTTGTCAAGCTCACTCCATAAGCAAATCTGATATTGGTTAAGAAGAGAACTTCCCCAACATATGACTGTGCTTAAGCCTACTGCTGCCTTTTTCCTGGAACTACATTGCTTTTTGGGTGGCGCGAAATGTGTGTAATCTGTGAGTTCCAGTCCAAATGTCGGTGTGATCATATTTTGTCCTGAAGCTCTACGTGGTCAACGGGATTGATCTGGGGGACCCAAATCGGCAATGAATCCAAGCTGAGGCTTTAGTTATAATCACAATCTTAACCGTTTCACTTACTGCGTATTCTTTTTAACGGCAGGGTATACATTGTGAAATATAACTTCAATGATGCTGAGATATTTTGACGGGTGATTGCTGATGGCAAAAGATCGATAGAACTAGCTGAGAGACGGCCAGAACGAAGGACCCGGATGGTGTGGTGGTGAAGTGCGCTGCTCCCTGGTAAGGACAACAGCGCGGATTCGTTCACCACCGCATACACCTACGGTCCAGAGTTTTGCAAATATCTCAGCATCATTGAAGTTATATTTCACAATGTATACCCTGCCGTTAAAAAGAAAAGGCAGTAAATAATACGTTAAATTGTGATTTCATGATGGTCCTTCTTCAAATATTTTGAAGTTTGCTGCGGAAGTCACAGAACGGGAGAAATTGAAATAAACCGTTCCTTCAGCAAAACTCTTTTGCACCTAAAACTGTTTATTGTGACCATCCATGTTAGGTACGTTGCAATCATACCTTTCGTCTCTTCCTGAGCAATTCCTTGGTAGCGTTGGGCACGCTTTCCGAACTTGTTGGCTAATGAACCAAGAATTCTGCACTTTTAAAGCCTTCTGTTAGACCGATCATAATTCTTCGTCGGATATTTGTCTAATCACCGATAGTTTAGGGAAAGAACTTTAAAAAAGGAAAGAAA